CACCATTTGTTACCGATAAGTTCTCCTCCGCAGTGAAATGGCTTATCTCTCTGTTGTTGTTACAGTGGGTAGATGAAGCTGGAGGAATAGAGACTCTAGGGAAAACTCTTCTTAGGCGTAAAAAGACCGAAGAGATTCCTCAATTCATTCCCCCTGAGGTAAATGCCATTACTACAGGCTTCAGAGACCTCTCTCTTTCTCTTACAAAGTTTTTGAAGCTTTGGTTCCACTTAAGATCATATGAAGTGTTTGTACCATGATGATGATAAATGGTGTGAAACAGCAAACGGTGGAAGCATTGCTGGAATCAGGATACTCACTCATAAAGGAACAAAAACTCATCATGGAAACAAAGCTTTCCAAGGAGTACATGAAGAATATCGACGATTAATACCATACAAACATCGATTCTTTTCCTTTCTTAAAATAACTTTCATGAACACGAAACTTGAATCCTGGTAAGTTGTTACAAAAAAAGCATTAAAACATAACTAAATCGCCTATAGACTTTTTTTTTTTTACCAAACATTAAGCATGGAACCTACCGCCGATGTGGTGCCAATTCATAGATGTGTCTGAACATGCAATACACAAATTTCAAAAACGGCAACCATTTCTATCTTAATAAGAAGAATAACTAAGCGCACAACAAGAGCCATCTCCTTTGTACTTTGCTACAGACAAGAGATCTTCGATCCTGTGATTAAACAGAAATGGTTTCAGACTGGGTTGTCTGAATTACATAATCTGAAAGTACAAAGAAAATGAAATGATCTTAGAAAATGGATATCAAGTGCTTACATTTCTCAGATTATCCGAATGAACCACGACATTTCTCAGATCCACACAGACATTTCCTCTTTCCATGTAAAAGGCTCCCACCTCTAGCCTCAGATGTCGGGGAGACTCCATAATCATAAGTTAATTCCGCCATTGGCGGAATGTGACGGATGGCAAAGAAAGCAATGTGGACAACTGATTCACTACTTCCTTCACAAACAACTGGCTGCCACAGAACATTGGGCGAACAACTATGGTTCATAAACCGCGCTACATTTCCAAAACTCTTAGAACTGATAAGGACTGGTGATGGAAGATTAAACTCCTCGGGAACTTCATCTGAAGGGTCTTCATCTACCAGCGCAGGCTCATAATTCCACTTAAACGAGTTATAAACACGAGATGTATCGAAGACATACTCATCATCCTCTTCTTGGTTCTCTCTAAGCATACCRTTGTCTTTGATCTCACCAGCATATTCGCATATGAATGAACCTGCACGGATGGGATCCCATGAACGTAAACCCCAACCACGATTCGCTGTCTTGAACACTTCCAGTCGGGCTTTCAGTCCTGTCTGAAGCACTTTGTTTTTGCAATTGGCATGACATGGACAGATTGGGCCACATTCATATATCATCGGCCTCCGAGAAACTAGCATAACCCCATTAAGGTAAGGGAGATCACCACCATTTTTTCGGATGCAAGAGCAGTTAAGATCTCCCGGTGCACATGAGCCATGGCAGGAACAACCAATTGTGGGCTGAGTTAATAATTTAAAGGACTCTGAGTATCTTAGAGAGGAAATGTAGGTGAAATAAGCAGGCCCTTTCTCCTCATCGACGTCATTCACAAGTGAAACAGGTGTGCTTTCAGCTCCTGAAGTGAGATCTGGAAGGATAAGGCCTGGTCTTGTAGTCAAACCTTCCTTCCATTTCTGAACAGATTTCCAGACGCCGAAAGCAGGTGGCTGACCAGGTACTCTCACCAATTTATATTTAAATGTGTTGCAACCAGATTTCCCTTTCTCTACCCATGACTCTGAGATTGAATAAAGTCCATCATAAATATAGATCTTTCCTGTTTTACTGGCTGGATCCTCTTCCCCTCGTATGACTCTTACTCCATTGCCCTTCCTCAAGCTTTTCTCTAATGCTAGATTACCCCTTTCAAGCTTCTGATCAGATGCTTGACGGTTCTTGTCTGCGTTGCCTCCTTGTCCACTGTAAATTAAAGACTCAGGATCCTGCGCTTCACCATCATAACGTCCAGATGAAACAATGCTAGTTGCTAAAGGCTCTTCATCTGACCCGACCTTACCAGTTATATAGTCAATTCCAGCCATAGTCTGCATGTGAAGACCCACTAAACACATCTCTATCCGAGAAAAGAAGATATCTCCAACTTCAATTCCAGGAACCGTCCCAACTCTCTTCTTCATGTTTGTTCGTATCCCATTGCTCATCAAAGTACCTGCTGCTTTCGAAGTAGCTGCCTTTGCATATTCTACTTGGCTGAGCCGCCTCCTAACTGAATCAAAACGCATCAATACGCTACTTACTAAGTCCTTACTTCCATCCTCTCGCTCTGCTACACTGATCCCACTGTCAAAATCTGCACTGAATCTTTTCACTACCTGATCATCCAAATTAGAGTCTTTGGTCACAGTCTTCTCTTTTTTCTTCCCACTACCAGTTCCCTTAGGACGACCAACTGCTTTTTTAGTTCCACTGGAGCTGCTGGGGCCATTTGATACAGTAGGCGTTCGATACGATCGAAGAGGAGAAACAAATGATGGAGAAGGTGTCTCCTGGGTTTGGTTGAGATCTGGAGTATCTTGCGTTGGTTGTTGTGTTCCAAATGGGAAGAAAGGCGAATACCCAGAAGAAGGAGAAGGACCAAAAGGTGGACCTCCAACAAATGGTGGACCTTGATCACCATTTGGAAAAACAGGTTTCAAACTTCGCAGCGGTTTTACATCTAGCACTACTGACTTGTCATAATGGTTAGGATTTGGAACAGTATTGACCCCTGGAACTCCTTCCATTGCTAAAAAGTGAAAAAACTTAGGAATAAGAGCATTAACCAAAGCTTAGATTAGCATGAAAAATATCGACAGTACCGTCCTAGTCTTCTCCTACCCCAAGGATGTAACAAATCAACAATATGGACATCAAAAACCATTGAAACCCACAAATTATAAACACCACCAGATCTTTCGTGCCTAGGGGAAACTAAAAAGAAAAAGAAAAATCTCAGCTTTTTATCACCAAGATCCCTACTTTTAAGCGACTTCGAAACACTAAAACATACTAATTTCAGATTCACCAGCAGAACGAAAGCTATGAAACATATAAATAGCAGGAAATCAGATTCGCACCAACCTCGCAATATGGAATTAGGGCTTCGACTCAAAAAAGAAACA